ATTGTAAGTTTTTTAGAGAGTAAAAGATGTTACATTTCACCTGTTAAAATTAGTGAAAGATTTGAACGAATGAAATGTCGCTACACCCGCCATTTTTGTTGATCTGAAAATTAGAGGCAAATCGATATTCTCCACCGATATTGGATTCTAAGTAACGCATTATTCTAAATGGAGACCACTGCTGATTATAAGCCCCCCCCCCCCCAATTACCAGTTGAAAGACTCCAAATATGAGAACATATTATACAACCTTTTCTCGTACCAAAAGAGAGTCGAACTGTTAGGCAGTAGTGTTTCATACGTCATTACATAGGCTGTAGTGTTTCATACGTCATTACATAGGCTGTAGTGTTTCATACGTCATTACATAGGCTGTAGTGTTTCATACGTCATTACATAGGCTGTAGTGTTTCATACGTCATTACATAGGCTGTAGTGTTTCATACATCATTACATAGGCAGTAGTGTTTCATACGTCATTACATAGGCTGTAGTGTTTCATACGTCATTACATAGGCTGTAGTGTTTCATACGTCATTACATAGGATGTAGTGTTTCATACGTCATTACATAGGCTGTAGTGTTTAATACGTCATTACATAGGTTGTAGTGATTCATCCGTCATTACATAGGTTGTAGTGTTTCATAAGTCATTACATAGGCTCTAGTGATTCATCCGTCATTACATAGGCTGTAGTGTTTCATACATCATTACATAGGCTATAGTGTTGCATACGTCATTACATAGGATGTAGTGATTCATCCGTCATTACATAGGTTGTAGTGATTCATCCGTCATTACATAGGTTGTAGTGTTTCATAAGTCATTACATAGGCTCTAGTGATTCATCCGTCATTACATAGGCTGTAGTGTTTCATACATCATTACATAGGCTATAGTGTTTAATACGTCATTACATAGGTTGTAGTGATTCATCCGTCATTACATAGGTTGTAGTGTTTCATAAGTCATTACATAGGCTCTAGTGATTCATCCGTCATTACATAGGCTGTAGTGTTTCATACATCATTACATAGGCTATAGTGTTGCATACGTCATTACATAGGTTGTAGTATTCCATAAGTCATTAGATAGGCTGTAGTGTTTCATACGCCATTACATAGGATGTAGTGTTTCATACGTCATTACATATGATGTAGTGTTTCATAAGTCATTACATAGGTTTTAGTGTTTCACGTGTCATTTTGAGCCAACCCTTTACTTTATTATCTGTATTTATTCGTTATTTCGAAGTTTACTTTGTTATAATTTAAAACAGGTAGCCTGGTGAAAACCTGTATATGACATAGGCGCAAGGAAGCTAAGATTTTAGAACAACTGGCGTTGCCAAATAAAATACACGTTACAAGTGCTTTGAACATACGGCTGATTAAATGTTACTGTTTACCTCTACTACTTAGAACTATCAGAGTATATCTAGCCAGTTAATTTGTAAAAATACATGGCAACATCATGTGCATTATATCTACAAAACATTGCTTGGTGTTTTTGAGACACCCCCCCCCGCCGAAACCCAAACGTTATACTCACGCGTACGCAAAAGTATCCAAAATCGACTACCCCCTCCCTCTGAGCGTACATACAAATGGATGACAGCTATGCTAATAATTTGAATTTTGTCTCATCTTCGTCAAATATGCCTTAAGATGTCAGAATGCACGCGCCCATCACAGCGTACCAGCACTTATGTGGATTGTGTGTACGTTTTTAATTCATTTATTAACGAAGTACGTAAAACATATAAATTGTTTAAATACAATTAATAAAACAAGATTGCTCTTACGTAACATTTTTTAAAAATTTCTATAATACTGCTAAAACAATCATGTTAACAGATACATTTATAAGAATCTTTTCTGTTTCTCTATTGATGCAAAACTGGAGATAGATGTGCTCCACTAGGCATTCCTTGATTTTAAATTGCTAACCTTTCATCTCAGCTCCCTCGACATCCGATCAAAGAGTCATTACCGGCGCTCTTGTTTATGTAAAAAGAAAACTGTAGATTGTAGTAATAGGACGAGTTTGTTAAACAGGAAAAATATAATTTCCATTGCATGTTCGTTGGACCATATTTGTCTTAACAGAACCCAGGGGCGAAAAAAAGATGAGACAAAAGGTATAACCCAGGGTGCCAATTACTTGGTGAATTTAGTTTATGTAGGGTATGGGCGCCGGATTCAGAGCTGACGCTGGTTGCCCTTATGCTTACTTTTGGTTTTAATAAATGCGCTGCCTTCCGCCCCAGCCCCACCAAAGAACTTCTGAAATTCCCCATCGAATCAGATTCTCTGAAAGAAACACTGGACAAAAGAAACATTTTTAAGACACCTTGAGAGCACATTTGAAAGCATTAACTTTCACCAAGGGCATGTGGGGACAGTCCTTAAAGAATCGAGACTCGTGGCGCTCTTCCATACACAATGGCTCATCGCAACATAAGGCTAACAGAACAACTGCTGCAGAACACAAGAGACAAGCCAGAAAATCCCGAGTTAACTCTGTGCCTGGAGTTGCCTCATCAATTCCCTGCACCTTCTGCACCATTGAATTTCGTACCAGAATCGGCCTGGTCAGCCATCGGCGCACCCACAAACTAGTTCAGTCACATCAACAAGCCGATGTTTAAAGTGATCATGGTCAATTTTCGACGGACGAATTATCACAGTATCTAGAAGTTCACGTTTAGTGCTGGAAGTCACAGTGTCTGCACTTCAGATCTTGAGTGAGAAGAGTGTGGTGACCTCAGCAACCAGATAATTTACCAACCACAACGTTGACTTACTTCTGTACGGCTTTGAATCTAAAGAATTTTCAATCGAAAAACGTAAGGTATAATTGCAACCCAATCAGGGAGCACGTGATCTATCACAACCTTCTCGGATAATAAACACAGAGGCTCTGTTTGATACTTAACTAGAGATGGTCTTTGATTAATTTGGACACGATAGAGATGACCTGTGATTAAATTAGACATATATATAGATGGTCTGTTTTTAGATTAGACATAAATAGAGATGGTCAGTGATTAAATTGGTTACATTGGACAAAAAAGATACGGTCTTTTATTATATTTGACTTAGAGAGTGATGGTCTGTGATAGATATACATTGAAGTAGAGATGGTCAGTGATTAAATTGGTTACATTGGACAAAAAAGGTACGGTCTTGTATTATATTTGACTTAGAGAGTGATGGTCTGTGATAAATATACATTGAAGTAGAGATGGTCTGTGATAAATATACATTGAAGTAGAGATGGTCTCTGATTAAAATAGACTTTAAAAAAGATGGCAAACGGTTACATTAGATTTACATAGAGATAAGATAAGATTCTTTTATTGATCCAAACAAATGGAAATGTTCTTTGATTGCATTGTACATTTTCAGCATATAAATAAAACAATTTGAACACAAGACATTTATATTATTTGAAATTATTTCACTAGTGAAAAAAACAGCCATTCAGTAAATTCTCTTAGCCATATCAGGGACTTAATAGTTTTCATTAAGATTTGGGACGTCTACGGGAGCACGCTCGTAAATACGTACAGATTGGGGAAGAAAAGAACTTTATATCTTTCAGTCCATGCCCTGATGGAAAGAATTCGTCCCGAAAGCTCCAATCCTAGGTATCTGTGATAAAGAGGGTGGGATGTATCATCCAAAATGTGTTTAGTTTTACAATAACATCTTTCTTCAAATAGTTCTTCAAGTGAATGATGTTTAGTTTGTGTTATGTTCCTAGCTTTCTTGATTAGTTGCTCTTGTTCTCTCTCGTCTTGACTATTGCAACTAACTTCTGTCAGGTTCACCGAAACATTTCATAGAAAAACTGCAGAAAGTTCAAAACTCTGCTGCTAGGCTTGTTCTTAAGGCAAAAAGATCACATCACTCCACTACTCCACTCACTACATTGGCTCCCTATACAGGCACGCATTGACTACAAGCTGTCTCTTCTCTGTCACAACTTTTTCTCGGATTCCTGCCCTTCCTATCTAACTGAACTTCTTTCTGTCTATTCACCCCTTCGACAACTTCGCTCCTCCGCAGACTCGCGTATTCTGTCCGTTCCCAAGACACGCACTAAATTATATGGTGAACGATCTTTCTCTTTCTGCGCCCCCAAACAATGGAATTCTTTGCCACTACACATCCGCAATATAACCACCACACAGGCCCTCAAAACTGCACTCAAAACACATCTATTTAAACTATACTACCCTGACTGATTCCCCTCCTATAAACCGATAAACGTACATGGGTTTCCTTGTAAAATTTGTGGTGTGGGTGGATGAATAGACCTATGGTGTTGTTTTGCTTATATGTTGTTTTTATTTCATTTATGTATTTTATTTTAATATTATGATTATGCCTCTTTGCTATATTTATGTACAGCGCGGTGAGGCCAGCCCTAGGCTGGGGTACCGCGCTATATAAGACCACTTATTATTATTATTATTATTATTATTATTATTATTAGTATGCGGTGTTTAATATCAGACGTTGAATTCCCACACCAGTAAGTAATACTGAAATTAAGTAGGCTTCCATTTGTTGCACTGTAGAATAAGTTAACGACTTGTTTGTTTATGCCAAAATTCTGCACTTTTTTGACGTAGAACAGTCTTTGGTTGAATTTTTTATACAATATTTGGCCACGCTCATGCCATGTTAACTTGTTATTAATGGTGACACCAAAGTACTTTTTTGCCTCTGCTTTCTCTACACTTTAATTTTTTTTATATTGAGATCTGTTATCTTTTTTGTCTCCCCTCCGGAAATCAACAACCATTACCTTTGCTTTTGAGACATTTAGCTAGAGAAAAAATTGTATGGCACCAATTGATCATGTTTGTAAGTAAGTTTCCCCCTCAGATATCCCGCCAATGGAACAGATTTTTTAATGTTTTTTTTTCCTTTTAGCTCTACCTGTAACTAAGTGACCGGAAGGTCAAGTCCCTTTCATCGCCTTAAATTAGGCACCTGGTTCTGTAGAGCACATGGTCCGCCTGATCTCCGACTCTTAAACTACAAGACCCGGGCAAAAACGAAAGATACTGAGATAACATTTTTAATTTGGAACTACTTCTTGTGTGTCCTGGTGACTTTCTATTTTGAACTCTTCTTGTCTGACCTATTCATATCTATTGTCAATGTCGCGCGCTCTCATGGAGTTTATTGATACACGGATTTATGGAGAGCATATGTCAACCTTGTGTACATGAATTGATCTGTCGGTGCCATCAGGCTAACTTGTTTACATGGAATTGTTTGGTGTTTAGACATACCAACGGATGAAGCAAGGGACACAATTCAACACATTGATGAAATAATACCTCGTGATTTGGTCGTTGTGTTTATATTTATTTACAGCCTGGCACACTCAACGATGCGAAGTCTTCCATTCATCGTTACCCTCTGTCACATCATCTGCCAGACAACTTTAGCAAGTACTAAGAACTGCTTGCCACAGGTGGGTTTAATTACTTGATATTCATGCTTTGCCAAAAGTGGGTTTAATTACTTGATATTCATGCTTTGCCAAAAGTGGGTTTAATTACTTGATATTCATGCTTTGCCAAAAATGGGTTTAATTACTTGATATTCATGCTTTGCCAAAAATGGGTTTAATTACTTGATATTCATGCTTTGCCAAAAGTGGGTTTAATTACTTGATATTCATGCTTTGCCAAAAATGGGTTTAATTACTTGATATTCATGCTTTGCCAAAAATGGGTTTAATTACTTGATATTCATGATTTGCCAAAAATGGGTTTAATTACTTGATATTCATGATTTGCCAAAAATGGGTTTAATTACTTGATATTCATGCTTTGCCAAAAGTGGGTTTAATTACTTGATATTCATGATTTGCCAAAAATGGGTTTAATTACTTGATATTCATGCTTTGCCAAAAATGGGTTTAATTACTTGATATTCATGTTTTAATTATAAATGTTCCCACACTTGACTTGATACACGTCACAGTTTGTCTTTTCCTACTATTTCTTTTTATTTCTTTGTCTCAGAAATCCAAACTTTTAAAAATTCGTATTTTGTGTAAGTCTTGGGTAAATGAAAACTCAATTTGTTTAAACAGGAATGTGCTTTCGAAGAATTCGAGCCCCGGTCCATTGCATGCACTTACGGCTCGTTCACCACTGTGCCAGATTTCTCCAAATGTGGTATCGAAATTGTTGGGCTGATCTTTGATGTGAGAAATGTGTTGTTTATAAGGATATTGAATTTAAATATGACGCAATTTATAGAGTCACAAGATTCTAAAAGGATTTGCACACAATTTTAATTTAATATTTATTCAGTCTTCATATATCCAACCTCAAATCTTTGCAATTTAAATGCCCCGATAAGAAGATGCGACTCTTTTTATTTCCATACACCTTGTTAATAAAATAAATCGTATGTCTATGTTAAAAAGAAAGAAATAACTCATAGTAACGTTGGATATGATTTATCAACTTAGAGAAAATCCTTATTTGACCACAAAAAATGTAGACTAGTTTGTGTTATAAACGTTTGTATCTATCAATTGTGTTTACTGGAAAGCTGAATGGTAAATTCTTTCATTGCATGGATGCAACTCAACAAGGCGGCAAACATAAATCTATTTTAGGTTTAAAGCATGCGTTTATTCTGTAGCAATGTGTTTTCAAATTTTTTTAGCAAACACGTTTAAAATATGTAAATATACTGATTTGATGTCCATAGATTCCATTTATTTCTACAGACAACTTCAATTGTCAACCTGACAGACAACAGCTTACCCCCGGGACTGCAATCACTTATCTTCCTCAGCAACCCACTTGGCTACATCTCTGAGGGGGCGTTCAACAACTGCGCCACGACCTTGGTCAACCTGACCTTTGACATGTCGCTCTACAGGATCATCCCCAGCGCATTGGCTCAGCTCACGTCACTCAAATACTTGGACATCTCTTACGAGCGTTCACTAAACTGGAACATCCCTGTACTGAAACAAATCGGCAGGACAATCACATTTCTCAACATCAAGTACCTGCGTCTGTCAACATGGCCAAGCTGGTTGCAATACTTCACTGCCTTGTCTTCTTTGGAAATATTTCATAGCACTTTATCGGATATAAACGATCAAGTATTGAGTCATGTGGCCAATCAGATGATTGATTTGAAAGTGACGCATAGTTACTTCACCTTTGTCCCTACAATTGTGTCATCACTAATCAATTTGGATACTCTGAGTTTCGCCAACAACATGATCACGAAAATTGAAAATCTGCCCTCTAAACTGACTTTCCTGGAATTCAATTACAACCAAATCACAGAGATAACCGATCAGACGTTTTCTAATTTAACGAACCTTCAAAACTTGCTGATCAGTTACAATCCCATCGCTCGCATCTCGCCCAACGCATTCGCAAACAATCCGCTGATCAGTTACCTGATGCTGGAGGGTACGAACCTGACACGCGTGCCACTGGCCCTGATGTCATTAATGAACATAGGAATACTGTTCTTAGACGACAGCGACTACATGGTGTGTACGTGCGAGGAGGCCAGCCTGATGTACTGGTTCAACAAGACCCCCAACATGCAGACTTACGGGGGTTGTGGAGGAGATATCGATATGAAGGATTTTTTCACCAAATTAGCTCCCGGATGTCCGGAAATTTCCTGAATGTGATGTCAAATGAATTCAAAATACTTAAACGATGATTGTTTTTGTTTTTTCACCAAAGAAATATGTTTAAATAAAAATTTGTGGTCCAAAGAATCGAAACGAAATAACTATGAGGCAAATTGATAAATAAAGAATTGTTGGTAAACCAGACATCTGTTGCGTTGTTGTTTCCGTGGAGGAACAATCATTTATGATGTAAATTGGGATACGGAAGGCTAAATATCATTTGATTATGTTTAGTTTTTTTTCGTATGATAAAAATAATATCATTTAGCCAGAGTGGAATAGATTATTTTTACCATATAGATATCGCTACTGTCGTCTTGATGCACGTCTGTTTGTCCTTTCTTGATACACGTCTGTTTGTCCTTTCTTGATACACGTCTGTTTGTCCTTTCTTGATACACGTCTGTTTGTCCTTTTCTTGATACTTGTCTGTTTGTCCTTTCTTGATACACGTCTGTTTATCCTTTCTTGATACTCGTCTGTTTGTCCTTTTCTTGATACACGTCTGTCTGTCCTTTCTTGATACACGTCTGTTTATCCTTTCTTGATACACGTCTGTTTGTCCTTTTCTTGATACACGTCTGTTTGTCCTTCCTTGATACACGTCTGTTTGTCCTTTTCTTGATTTACGTCTGTTTGTCCTTTCTTGATACACGTCTGTTTGACCTTTCTTGATACACGTCTGTTTGTCCTTTTCTTGATACACGTCTGTTTGTCCTTTCTTGATACACGTCTGTTTGTCCTTTCTTGATACACGTCTGTTTGTCCTTTCTTGATACACGTCTGTTTGTCCTTTCTTGATACACGTCTGTTTGTCCTTTCTTGATACACGTCTGTTTGTCCTTTCTTGATACACGTCTGTTTGTCCTTTCTTGATACACGTCTGTTTGTCCTTTCTTGATACACGTCTGTTTGTCCTTTTCTTGATACACATCTATTTGTACTTTTCTTGATACAAGTCTGTTTGTCCTTTTCTTGATACACGTCTGTTTGTCCTTTCTTGATACACGTCTGTTTGTCCTTTCTTGATACACGTCTGTTTGTCCTTTCTTGATACACGTCTGTTTATCCTTCCTTGATACACGTCTGTTTGTCCTTTCTTGATACACGTCTGTTTATCCTTTCTTGATACTCGTCTGTTTGTCCTTTTCTTGATACACGTCTGTTTGTCCTTTCTTGATACACGTCTGTTTGTCCTTTTCTTGATACACGTCTGTTTGTCCTTTCTTGATACACGTCTGTTTGACCTTTCTTGATACACGTCTGTTTGTGCTTTCTTGATACGCGTCTGTTTGTCCTTTCTTGATACACGTCTGTTTGTCCTTTCTTGATACACGTCTGTTTGTCTTTTCTTGATACACGTCTGTTTGTCCTTTCTTGATACACGTCTGTTTGACCTTTCTTGATACACGTCTGTTTGTGCTTTCTTGATACGCGTCTGTTTGTCCTTTCTTGATACACGTCTGTTTGTCCTTTCTTGATACACGTCTGTTTGTCTTTTCTTGATACACGTCTGTTTGTCCTTTCTTGATACACGTCTGTTTGACCTTTCTTGATACACGTCTGTTTGTGCTTTCTTGATACGCGTCTGTTTGTCCTTTCTTGATACACGTCTGTTTGTCCTTTCTTGATACACGTCTGTTTGTCCTTCCTTGATACACGTCTGTTTGTCCTTTTCTTGATACACGTCTGTTTGTCCTTTCTTGATACACGTCTGTTTGTCTTTTCTTGATACACGTCTGTTTGTCCTTTCTTGATACACGTCTGTTTGTCCTTTCTTGATACACGTCTGTTTGTGCTTTCTTGATACGCGTCTGTTTGTCCTTTCTTGATACACGTCTGTTTGTCCTTTCTTGATACACGTCTGTTTGTCTTTTCTTGATACACGTCTTTTTGTCCTTTCTTGATACACGTCTGTTTGACCTTTCTTGATACACGTCTGTTTGTGCTTTCTTGATACGCGTCTGTTTGTCCTTTCTTGATACACGTCTGTTTGTCCTTTCTTGATACACGACTGTTTGTCTTTTCTTGATACACGTCTGTTTGTCCTTTCTTGATACACGTCTGTTTGACCTTTCTTGATACACGTCTGTTTCTGCTTTCTTGATACGCGTCTGTTTGTCCTTTCTTGATACACGTCTGTTTGTCCTTTCTTGATACACGTCTGTTTGTCTTTTTCTTGATACACGTCTGTTTGTCCTTTCTTGATACACGTCTGTTTGTCCTTTTCTTTTTCTGGCTTAGTTTTTAATTCTGTAAGATTTTGTTTTCCTTCCGACACACCGTGGCACTGCCTACCGCACTGACATACCCTGGCACTGCCTACCGCACTGACACACCCTGGCACTGCCTACCGCACTGACACACCCTGGCACTGCCTACCTCACTGACACACCCTGGCACTGCCTACCGCACTGACACACCCTGGCACTGCCTACCGCACTGACACACCCTGGCACTGCCTACCGCACTGACACACCCTGGCACTGCCTACCTCACTGACACACCCTGGCACTGCCTACCGCACCGACACATCCTGGCACTGCCTACCGCACCGACACAACCTGGCACTGCTTGCCGCATCCCTAACATAGCCAAAAGCACACGTGGCGAGCAGGAAACCCTGGTTGAGAACCTCTGTCCTATATCAACTGCACGTTTCCATTAAAGAATCTCTTCGTGTTGATTACGTTATTTCAATCCGAGCTCAGATGACAAAACACACATTTTTTTGAAAGTTTGCTTCTCTTTAACTGTGCCAAATCGAGATGTCTAGTGTGGTTTCCGAATCTAGAATGTCTAGTTTGGTTGCCAAATCGAGATATCTAGTTTGGTTGCCAAATATAGATTCTAGTGTGGCTGCTAAAACGAGATTTCTAGTTTGTTTTGCATGAAAAAGATATGTTATATGGTTGCAAATCACACCCGGTCAAACAGAGACATCAACTGGATTTTTGTGGCAGTATTGGTTGCCCTGACAACCAATTTTGGTGCCACTATATACACTGCCCAGCGTCGTGCCTAGTGTTAGGCACCACCTTAGGCAGGTGAATATTTTTGCCACGCTACCTTTCTCGATATAAACTCTGCTGGTGTCCGATAATTCCACTGCTCAATATAAAGAGAACATGACACCTGGACAGACCACTATAGGCCCCTACTACCTTTCTGCGTCACTGGCATGAGTGTTTGGTGCCAGGTGACAACATTGATTTTTACTCCCTCCCCCACTTAAACTCTGAAACCCATTATTTTCATCAATTAATACAAGAAAATCCTATTAGTTGCCCCTACTAGTCTGGCACCCGGGGACTTATGAGCCTATGCCCACCTTAGCTACGCCTCTTTTCCAATATGTGCCTAAACAAGATGTCTACTGTCCCGACATTCTAGCCTATGGCCCAGAAAACTATTTGATGTATGTCTAATTGTGTCTTTGTCTTAATGTGTGGGATACAAAGCAGATGGACGATAAGAGTTTACGAATACCGGAGTGTTATGGAAGGTTCTAGACATATGTGATGGTGACAAGAAAATGATAGTTGCCAACGAATTTTCAGTAGGTTTTATTTCAAGATATCATTGAGAATGAGAAATTGTTTGACAAGGTTGACTAGCCACGTCAAGCCATGCTCAACGAGTACGTTTTAAAGCACATGGTGTGCTAAATGAGTTGGACTGGGAAAACAGATGAGAACCTCTGCTGTGTGGTCAATTAAAACGGAAAGATCATTTGCTTTGACTTTGATAAATATGGAAGCTGCATACTGCAATGTAGTTCAAATATTTGATTTTCTGTAAGAAATTTAAACCAGTTAGCTTACAAATGATATGTAATAGAAATAAATTAAAATATTAATATATATATATATATATATATTTGATTTATTTTTTTTTTAAACTAATTTAAATTTAATTTTTGCCGTCATTAATACTTATAATTTATGTCAACATAATCGTGTTTTCTAACTCAGGTGATAATGCTCTGAGCAAGGAACAGTTGAGGCGACAACACTAGACACATTTGTGTCTATTGCCTCAAGCCTTCAAACCCCTAGTGCATAATTTCCTCATCACCACCAGTAACAGAAACATTGCAAATCCCATCTACATGCATAGGAGCCAAAATGATCAATAAATTGATCGTGGGCCCTTAAGATATAGAAGAAGAATTCACCTGAGTGTTATCATTCCTATGTCAGGATCACTTAATATTACATTTAAGAGTATAGATAAAAGTTAGGAATGGACAAAAACAGAAATTATGATGTGTTTTCAAATGCATTGTAAAGCATTTAGGCAAAATTCATTATCTTGTGTTTTCAGATGCATTGTAAAGCCATTTAGAAAAATATACATTTTTTGTGTATTCAGGTGCAGTGTAAAGCCATGTAGCAAAAATACATATGTTGTGTTGCAGATGCACTGTTTAGCCATATGTTTAAGGAGTACTTCTAAATTGAGTCACAAAGTTGATTTCTTCACCGATCTGTTTCGAGAGTAATAAGTGCAAATGGTGGTCGTGTTCATTGTTCACTGTCTGTTGATGGGAAGTGATGTCTTGGCATTCTTACAGGACAGCTGTACCCCACCAGTGAGTAAAACTGTATTATTCTACTAATCGTGTTTAAACATGAACACTTAACACAACACACTTAACGCTAAACATTCAACAACCCATTCAAATGAACAAGAAAAACTACGATATTACACAAATCTCAAATATAATAATTTTTGAGTAGATTTTTGTAAAGCTGTAAACACAGCTCTCTTCAACCCGGTGAATTTACTCTAGTTATAGAACTTAGCTTTTTTCAGAGCATTAATTTAGCGAACTGTAATTCAAGTAAAACTTTTCTTTAGAATGGTTTTCGGACCTTTGTTTTAAACATATCTTAATCCATAAGGTCAAAGATTGATTAAATATTGCTTAAAGGGGTCCAGGAAAAGACACACTATTTAAATACAGACACATGATGAACTTTTAATGTAACAAAATACACCCCTCTTAATTAATCTGATGTTTTATTTTTTATTTATTTTTTTTTTGGGGGGTGGGGTCGGGGTGGGTACTTGAAATGTTGAATCTCTCTCAGTTTTTTTGCCAGGACATCCTGTCGCACAGGACACAACTAAAAACAGGAGACATGTTAAAAATGAGTTTGTATTGTGTCTAGACATGAAGAAGTATGTTCTATTCCAGTTTTAAGTTCGGCTTTGTTTCCTATACATTACTATTTGGTGCTAGACTTAATGTCTAGTTGTATTTGTCAACAGTTGCACTATTCATTATTGTAGGAGTGTGACGTAGAACCGGACAGTTGCACTTTCCATTATTGAAGGAGTGTGTGACTGGATGGCCGAAGGGTCTAAACTGAGCAAACCTCAAGTTGGTGGTCTGGAGCTCAATTCCAGCCAAAGGCCAGTCAAGCAAAAACATCATACCGGGTGGATGAGACTAGTTAACCTTGGTCGGCAACTCATCTAGGAGAAAGAAACTCTGAATTCAAACCCTAAGTAGGAGTCCCGTAAGGCGCATACAATGACAATTCCTGCAACAGTACCCATCACTGGTCGTCTTGACGTAGAGTCATGCCACTGCATATGCTGGGCCCGGACGAGAGAGTGAGGTTGACGCCACGCAACTCTTGTTCACTTTAAACAAATGTCACCCGCGCAAGTCATCAGTCACCGGACGACTCGATGGTCATTGTTGATCAATATTGTAGGAGTGTGACGCAGAACCCAACAATTGTTCTATGTATTATTGTAGGAGTGTGACGTAGAACCCAACAGTTGCAATTTTCATTATTGTAGGAGTGTGACGCAGAACCCAACAATTGTTCTATTCATTATTGTAGGAGTGTGACGCAGAACCCAACAATTGTTCTATTCACTATTGTAGGAGTGCGACGTAGAACCCAATGGATACCTATATGCCGTACGCTGTGTTGGAGGAACATTTTCTGCATTCCCCATCATAAGAAACTGTGGAGTCAACATCTCAGTGCTTAGTCTAGAGGTGAGATCCTAGCAGTGTGTTTAATAGATCAGTGGTCAGTTTGGATGTGCTACAGAGGCTGTCTAGAGGTGAGATACTAGCAGTGTGTTTAATAGATCAGTGGTCAGTTTGGATGTGGTACAGGGGCTGTCTAGAGGTGAGATCCTAGCAGTGTGTTTAATAGATCAGTGGTCAGTTTGGATGTGGTACAGGGGCTGTCTAGAGGTGAGATACTAGCAGTGTGTTTAATAGATCAGTGGTCAGTTTGGATGTGGTACAGGGGCTGTCTAGAGGTGAGATCCTAGCAGTGTGTTTAATAGATCAGTGGTCAGTTTGGATGTGGTACAGGGGCTGTGTTGATATAAAAAAATATTAATGGTCGTTAGCTAAACCGCTAAGTTTCAAGGCTTCAAGGGAATAGAATCAAAGAAATTTCTTACTTGAAGACGATATTCACTCATTAGACAGGTACACTGTACAAAATAGTCGCCGAAAATTCTAAAATGTTGGTAACTGTATGAAATGCAGTTTCTTTATCAAGGGGCACAGGAAGAGTATTGGTATATCCACTGGCACAGGAAGGGTATTGTTATATCCATTGGCTTAGTAATGGTAGATGCGGCTGTCATTGATTTTATTATCGCACTAATTTAATCAGGAAACTACTAGGCAAATAAAATACACATACAAAGCCATACAATGCATATAAGACGTAACAGAAATGCCGCCAAATCTAACTGCCGCCTGCGACGGACCGATTTTTCCATCTCCTCTTCTTACGACCATGCCTATAAGCTATAAGGTAGTAAAATGATAACATTGCAGTTGGCCACGAAATGAAAATCCAACATGTACGCTGAGTAACATTTAATGTAGAGACCGACCGAATTTCGGCTTCGGTTTCGGTGCCGAAAGTGGCCATTTATCACTTTCGGCTAAGTTTCGTTTTCGGCCGAAACTGGAAAGTTCTGGAATCAGCTCCCCTTCCATATACGTCATAGTGAAACCTCGTCCATTTTCAAAAAGTCCCTTAAAACTCATCTGTTTAGGTCCGCCTATGACCTGTGATGCACCCTCCTTGCCCTACCTCATTTTCTGTTTCGGGTTGATCCTGAAGTGTCAAAGTGTCCTCGTTTTATAGCCATTTTAATTGTTTCTATAGAATAGTAGTTACTATCCTAGTGTCTCATTTGTATTTACTTAGTTTACATGTTTTAATAATTGTAAAGCGCTTAGAGCTTTATGATAAGCGCTATATAAAAATGCCTAAATAAATTCTATAGAATAGTAGTTACTATCCTAGTGTCTCATTTGTATTTACTTAGTTTACATGTTTTAATAATTGTAAAGCGCTTAGAGCTTTATGATAAGCGCTATATAAAAATGCCTAAATAAATAAATAAATAAATTTTCGGCTTAATTTCGGTTTCGGCCGAAAGAGAAAAGTTAACTTTCGGTTTTTCTTCGGTTTCGGCCGAAATTGACTTAGACTTTCGGCCTAAAGTGACTCAGGTTTTTGGTCATTTAATACTCAGCGAAAGCGATATTTAACAACTAACTTAGCGACATTTAAGAACAAATTAAGCGATCTTTGAGAACAAACTAAACGATATTTAACAACAAATTAAGCGACATTTAAGAACAAACTAAACAATCTTTAAAACTTACTAAACGATCTTTAAGAACAATCTAAGCGATATTCAATAACAAACTAAACGATCTTATAGAACAAACTAAACGATTTTTAAGACCGAACTAAATGATCTTTAAGAACAAAACAGATGATCTTTAATAGTAAATTAATTATTGATAAGAATAAACTAAGCGATCTTCTTCTTCTTCTATATCTTAAGGGCCCACGATCAATTTATTGATCATTTTGGCTCCTATGCATGTAGATGGGATTTGCAATGTTTCTGTTACTGGTGGTGATGAGGAAATTATGCACTAGGGGTTTGAAGGCTTGAGGCAATAGACACAAATGTGTCTAGTGTTGTCGCCTCAACTGTTCCTTTTGAAAGATGGTTCCAGTCCCTGATTGTCTTGGGCAGGAATGAGCAGCTCCTATACTGGCTTCTTGCTGGTATGAGCCTGAATTGCCTGTCATGGCCTCGTCGCTGTCTATGGGGGAGAGGGACGAGTTTCTGTTTAATACTGGAACAGTGGACCAGCCCATTATTTATCTTGTACATCATGGAGAGCCTGGATTGTCGTCGTCGTTTCTCCAATGGTGACCAGCCTAGTGTTTCTAGCATGCTGCCAACACTAGAGGTATTCCTGTAGCGGTTTAGGACAAAGCGTGCTGCTCGTCGCTGGACCGCCTCCAACCTGTCAATGCTCTTCTGGGTAAATGGGTCCCAGACTGAAGATGCATAATCTAAAATCGGACGGATAAAGGCTTTATATGCTCTTTCTTTCACACAGGAGTTGCCAATCTTTAGATTTCGCCTTAAGAACCCCAAGGCTTGGTTTGCTTGGTTACATACATTGTTAATATGCTCGTCCCAGCGGACCTCTCTTTGAATGGTAACACCCAGGTACTTTACGGAGGAAACTTGCTCAAGAATATGGCCGTGCAGTTTGTATTGGTAGTGTAGAGGAGTACAACTTCTAGAGATTGATAGTGTCTGGCACTTGGCAGGGTGAAATTCCATGTCCCAGCTCATCTCCCACTCAGCTAACAGATTGAGATCCTGTTGTAGCTGGTCCTGGTCAGATCTGTTGGCGATCGTCCTATACACTGCTGTGTCATCTGCAAACAGTCTTGCCTGTGATGTCAGTTTCTCCGGTAGGTCATTAATGTATGCTAGGAACAAACAGGGGCCCAGGACTGATCCCTGGGGGACCCCTGACTTCACATTGACAAAGGAGGAGCTTGTACCGCCCACCACTACTGCTTGGCGTCGGTGGCTGAGGAAGCTAGAGATCCATGTTTTAGTGGTGCCTTGAATCCCATATATCTGGAGTTTGTGTAGAAGCAAACTATGATTCACCCGGTCAAATGCTTTTGCGAAGTCCATTACTAGCACGTCAGTCTGCTTGTGGTTCTCCAGATTGGTCATCAAGTCTTCTACAAATTCGAGAAGCTGGGTCTCACATGACCTATTGACTCGGAAGCCATGTTGACAGTCATTGAGTATATTTTGGCTTTCAAGATGCTTCATGACAGAGCTTACGATTATGTGCTTAAGAACAAACTAAAAGATCTTTAAGAACAAACTAATCGATCTTAAGGAACAAAATTAATTGTCTTTAAGAACAAACTAAGCGATCTTCATGAAAAAAAACTAAGCAATCTTTACAAGAAACTAAGCGATCTTTCACAACAAACGAAGCGATCTTTAAGAACATACTAAACTATCTTTAACAACAAACTAACAGATTTTTAACAATAAACTAAACGATCTTGAACAACAAACTAAACGATCTTTAACAACAAACTAAACGATTTTTAAAAACAAAGTAAACGATCTTTAACAACAAACAAAACGATCTTTAACAACAAACTAACCGATCAATAGCAACCAACTAAACGATCTTTAACAACAAACTAACCGATCAATAACAACCAACTAAACGATCTTTAACAACAAACTAACCGATCAATAACAACCAACTAAACGATCTTTAACAACAAACTAACCGATCAATAGCAACCAACTAAACGATCTTTAACAACAAACTAACCGATCAATAACAACCAACTAAACGATCTTTAACAACAAACTAACCGATCAATAACAACCAACTAAACGATCTTTAACAACAAACTAACCGATCAATAGCAACCAACTAAACGATCTTTAACAACAAACTAACCGATCAATAACAACCAACTAAACGATCTTTAACAACAAACTAACCGATCAATAACAACCAACTAAACGATCTTTAACAACAAACTAACCGATCAATAGCAACCAACTAAACGATCTTTAACAACAAACTAACCGATCAATAGCAACCAACTAAACGATCTTTAACAACAAACTAACCGATCAATAACAACCAACTAAACGATCTTTAACAACAAACTAACCGATCNATTCACGATTGTCTCATTTTTAAAAAAAAAAGAATGTAAATATCTATACTTTCCGCAATCATTTTCGATGTATGCAGAATGTATGCGAGAACGAATTTCAAAATATCTTAATATTTTATTTTCGGTTTCGGCCGAAATTCATTTTTAACTTTCGGCTTTTTTTCGGTTTCAGCCGAAATTCATTTTTAAACTTTCGGCATTTTTACGGTTTCGGCCGAAATCCGAAAATCACTTTCGGTCGGTCTCTAATTTCAAATAAGAACTCTTTTTTGTTTTATATTTAATTTATTTTGTTAAAAATAACCTATACATTTTAAATGTAGTTATGTCTCTTTGCTAAGTCGAGCACAAGTTTTCATTTCAGTAGTTTAGACGGCAGATCGTTATGCTAAGGGTATTTAAAAAAAAAATATTTTGCTTTAACTTCCCACCCCCCCCCCCTCCCCCCCCCCCCCAATTTTTGCCAGATTTTATTTCCTACCATACTAATTTTAAAAAAAAAATTGTAAAGCAATTTAAATTACTTTATATTAAAATGGTAAAATCCTAAGGATTCATTAGATCAAGGGTCTCAAACTCAAATCATGGGGAGGGGGGGGGGGGCGGGGGCGGGGGCGGGGCACAGGAGGAAGTGTCTGAATGGGAGGGGGCGGCATCAAGTAATCCAGAAAAAAAAAAGATTACAACTGTTACAATCTGCTCAACCTTTATAAATAACAATAAAATCATTAAGGGTTCTGAAGAACTACTCACTGTTGCCAGAGACCTGGCATTCAAAAATATATAGAAACATAAAAAAAAAAATCAGAATTAGACTAGTCGGTGAGATTCGACTGAAACCGTCGCGGAGAGTCCCGTTATATATATGAGAATGGGGGAAACGGGCCAGCGCATTTACACTAAACTTTTCTGTCATGTAGCGGGCCGCAAAATATCGTCTTGCGGGTCACAAAATGGCTCGCGGGCTGCGAGTTTAGGACCCCTATATTAGATGTTTATTTATTAATATTCACGATTATCTCATTTTTTTATAAATAGAATGTAAATATTTATACTTTCCCACATCATTTTCGATGTATGCAGAATGTATGCGGGAACGAATTTCAAAATATCTTAATAATTCATTTTCGGTTTCGGTTTCGGCTTCGGTTTCGGCCAAAATTCATTTTAAACTTTCGGCCTTTTTTCGGTTTCGGCCGAAAGTCATTTTTAAACTTTCGGACGTTTTTCGGTTTCGGCCGAAAGTCCAGTTAAACTTTCGGCCTATTTTCGGCTTCGGCCGAAATCAGAAAATCACTTTCGGTCGGCCTCTAATTTAATGTTTTATAGACTAACATGTTTCAAATTGTTTAATCCACAGAATACACTCATCTCTGTATTACCAGAAGCAAGCATCCCAGCTGGTCTCAGTACTATCACTTTCATCCATAACCCACTAAAAAACATCCACGTTGGTGCTTTCGATTACTGTGCTAGAACCCTTGAAGAGTTGACTTTCAATGCGTCACTTGACGGGGAAATCCCGAACGCTTTGAACAAATTTGTATATCTCCGATTGCTTGATTTAAGTAACGAAAAAATAACCAATTGGAACCTACCAGTGCTCCAGAAAATAGGTTCCACGGTTAAGGAGGTTAGGCTAACAAACCTAGGTTTGTCATCGTGGCCCACATGGCTCAATTACTTTACGGCTATTACATCATTGACAGTGGATGGTAATAATGTGACGGTTATCCCCGATGAATGGCTAAACACGGTTGGTGCGCAACTAATAGAATTGAATCTGAGATCCTCTCTACTCAGCAGATTACCCGAGGCCATGTCCAATCTGACGGCACTAACGTTCCTCGATCTCTCTTACAATCTGATAACCCATGTCGCCAACATACCTCCCCACATAACGAATCTGCACTTGGAAGGGAACAAAATCGTGGAGATCGGTGATGCGTCGTTCATGCAGATGCCTTACCTACGATACCTAGTCCTGGACGGCAACCCCATGACGACCGTTGGTGCCCAGGCCTTCAACAACACACCGGCCGTGGACACTCTCAGCATGACGGGGACGAATTTAACGAGGGTACCAATGGCGCTGTCTGACCTGACCGATCTGTCAATCCTGGATATGTCCAACAGCGTAAACCTTGTCTGCACGTGTGCCGAGTCTGGTCTGCAGACGTGGTTCGAGGGTCAGAGGTCATACTACATAACTGGTCAATGTGGCAGCATTGACATTTATACATTTTTCACTACTCTTGCCAAAGATTGCCCAACATCTGTTTTCTAACCAATGAGTTATATTTTCTATAGTAAACATTGTTATTTCTTATAGTTATATTCTCTTAAGTAACTATTGTTAATTCTTGTAGTTATATATTCTTAAGTAACTAATGTTAATTCTTGTAGTTATTTTTTCTATAGTACCTATTGTTATTTCTTGCAGTTATATTCTCTATTATAAATATTGTTGATTTTTTTAGTTATATTCTCTATTGTAACTATTGTTAATTCTTGTAGTTTTAACATATTTAATGTTGATGGAAAGAACCACAACTTATAAAACGGAATGATTAAATTTTCATTGAGATTTTGTTATTTCAAGAGTCGGATTCTCTATATAAAAATATTTAAAATTATAGCTCAAATATTAGTTGAGTGGCAGAGTGATACTCCAATTTCAATCTCATTACACTGTGATACTCCAATATTAGCTTCTATACACAGTGATAATCCAGTGTTAGTTACCCCACACAGTGATAATCCAATGATAGTTTCCTGACACAGTGATAATCCAATGTTAGTTTCCTGACACAGTGATAATTCAATGTTAGTCTCCTGACACAGTAATAATCCAATGTTAGTTTTCAGACACAGTGATTATCCTATGTTAGTCTCGTGACACAGTGATAATCAATGTCAGTCTCCTGACACAGTGATAATCCAATGTAGTCTCTTGACACAGTGATAATCCAATGTTAGTTTCCTGACACAGTGATAATCCTGTTAGTCTCCTGACACAGTGATAATGCTATGTTATTTTCCTGACACAGTCATAATCCTATGTTAGTATCCTGACACAGTGATTATCCTATGTTAGTCTCCTGACACAGTGATAATCCGATGTTAGTTTACTGACACAGTGACATGCCAATGATAGATTTCTGACACAATGCTTCTCAAATGTTTGTAAAAAGTACTGAGATTGTGTGTGATACAAATCTAAACCATTGATCTACGTCATGGAACTAAACCCGAAAGCAAAACACGACGAATGAGGCACGACGACAGTGACCGATCTTTGGGAGGTGTGTTCCTAATGTATCAGTTGTGGTCTCAATGTCTCAGTTGCGGTCCTAATGTATCAGTTGTTTCTCAATGACTCAAATGTGGTCACAATGACTCAAATGTGGTCCTAATGCCTCAATTATTGTCCTGTTACATATAAAACATTCTTAAGTGGAGGCAATTACAAATTAAAAAATGTGTGTTTAAATGGTTAGGGTTTCTTCACAAATATTTGCATTCAAATGTACTCTCATGCCGAGGTATTCTTTTGGTTAAATATAGCGAGATTGCATTGCTTATCCTTATAATACATGTACTTCCCCCCTCCCCCCCCCCCCACAGCTTTTGGATAATGTCCCTGCCTAATGATTGCACTTTCCAACAAATTCGAGAGTATAAATAATACGGCCATATTCTACTTCCCACGAACAAGTTTGACCTAGACTGCCAAGTATAGAGCAAATGATCTGCGAGGCTTTTGAACGACAAAATACTGACACTAGCCGTAACCAATCAGCTGGTGGAGATGACGATACTCTCCATTGGTGTGTTAATGTCAAATGGCTAGAGAGCCGCAGTCACATGCCTGGCATGCGCAGGGCCCTGGAGTCAGGAGTCATTGGGTGTGTTAATGGGGAAGGCTAAGCACGTGTTTGTTTTGTTTATGATGAAACAGGTGAGAAATGATTTGCTGTAAGATTGTGGGACACATAATCATTAAATGGCAATTCATGTCAATGGATTATTTTACATAAATAATCTAAGATCTCAGGACTAACGAAAGGCGCATTTCTAGATCTTTTTAAAAGTGTTGTTTTTTTTCCCTTGATATTTTTATAGGACTTCAGTTATGGTCGATTAAATGTAGGCTTTAATTAGTCTGGAAATTATGTCGTACATTCTAAGGAATATCAGCGACCCTTAAAATGAATGGGCATGTCAGTCTCCCACACATGATATGGACTTTTCAGTCTCCCACACACTGCAGAAGATTGTCAGTCCAATACACTCTATGGGATTTTAGTCCCCCACAAATTAAATGACAATATACTTTAAATTTTAACTGTAAGTAACAAACCACACACAAAAGGCATAACAAGATGAACACGATTTAAAGCAACTCCCAACCTTTAAATGTAGTTGGGAATAATCGATTGAATAAAATGCCATTTTAAAAATAATTTAGGAATATCTAATACACTTACAATGATGTTTAAATATACGTAGCTCTGAGCTGAACTTTCTGGAATGATCATGCCAGTTATCAAAGTACAGGCATTGGCCAGGAGTATAGCTTTATACTTAACTTGGAGGGAAACAGTTTGACTCGACTCAGCTTGGGCACGTGGCAGTTACTCCACGAGACACATTATGGCCTTGGCCTTGCAGTACTTGAATAACCTTAACTAACATTTAGTTCAAGGGTTCTCATTTTGTTTAAACGCTCTCATCAATCAAATTTATAAATGACCATTCCCCTTAGACTAATCTAATCGGACATGGCGTAATAATTACTCATTCTCAATGATAATGAAAAGAGACTTTGAAAAATGTTTGCCCCTTTAAATGCAATGATTTTGTTTTAACTACACATACTTGCTTGAGTAAAGGTACAGTATTCATTAATGCCAGTTTCTGGTTGGTCTATGATTAAATTGATCGAAAAGTGTTAGTATCATCACATGACCAAATGTTGATGACACAAAATGATTGATATGGAATTAAAGACCATGATTAGTGCTTTTATTTATTGGCTCTATGTGTGTGTGTAGTGTTTGCGTGGTGTGTATGTCTGTGTGTGGTGTGTATGTGTGTGGTGTTTGCGTGGCGTATGTGTGCGTGTGTGGTGATTGTGGTGTGTGTGCGTGGTGTGTGTGTATGGTGTGTATGTGTGTGTGTTGTGTGTGTGGTGTGCGTGGTGTGTGAGTGTGTGTGGTGTGTGTGTGTGGTTTGTGTGTGGTGTGCGTGATGTATGTGTGTGTGCGTGGTGTTTATGTGTGGTGTTTGCGTAGTGTGTGTGTGTGGTATGTGCGTGTGGTATGTGTGTGTGGTGTGTACTTGTTGTGTGCGTGGTGTGTGCGTGGTGTGTGGGGAATTTGTGTGTTGTGTGTGTGTGTGTGGTGTTTGCGTGGTGTGTGTGTGTGTGGTGTATGTGTGGTGTGTGTGTGTTGTGTGTGCGTGCGTGGTGTGTGTGTGGTGTGTGAGTGTGGTGTGTGTCTGGTGTGTGTGTGCTGTGTGCGTGGTGCGTGTGTGGTGTTAGTGTGGTGTGTATATTGTGTGCGGGGCGTGGTGTGTGTGTGGTGTGTGCGTGGTATGTGTGTTGTGTGTGTGTGATGTGTGTGCGTGGTGTTTGCGTGTGCGTGGAATGTGTTGTGCGTGGTATGTGGTGTGCGTGGTGTGTGCGTGGTGAGTGGTGTGCGTGGAGTGTGCGTGGTGTGTGTGTGGTGTGTCCGGGGTGTGTGCGTGGTGTGTCCGGGGTGTGTGCGTTGTGTGTGCGTGGTGTGTACGTATGTGTACGTATGTGTGCGTGTTGTGTGGTGTGTGTGGTGTGTGCGTGGTGTGTCCGGGGTGTGTCCAGGGTGTGTGCGTGGTGTGTTTTTGGTGTGTGCGTGGTGTGTCCGGGTTGTGTTCGGGGTGTATCCGGAGTGTGTGCGTGGTGTGTGCGTGGTGTGTACGTATGTGTGCGTTTTGTGTTGTGTGTGTGGTGTATGCGTGGTGTGTGCGTGGTGTGTCCAGGGTGTGTTCGGGGTGTGTGCCTTGTGTGTGCGTGGTGTGTGCGTGCTGTGTGTGTTGTGTGCGTGGTGTGTGTGTGGTGTGTGCGTGGTGTGTGCGTTGTGTGTGCGTGGTGTGTGCGTGGTGTATACGGGATGTGTTCGGGGTGTGTCCGGGGTGTGTCCGGGGTGTGTGCGTGGAGTGTGCGTAGTGTGTGCGTGGTGTTTTCGTGTGTGTGCGTGGCGTGTGCGTGGCGTGTTCGTGGTGTGTGTGCGTGGTGTGTTGTGTGTGTCTGGTGTGTTCGTGGTGTGTGTGTGGTGTATATGTATGCGTGTTATGTGCGTTGTGTGGGGTGTGTGCGTGGTGTCTGGTGTGCGTGGTGTGGGGTGTGTGCGTGGTGTGGTGTGTGTGCGTGGTGTGTGCGTGGTGTATGCGTGTGCGTGGTGTGTGTGGTGTGTGCGTGTTATGTGCGTGTTATGTGCGTGGTGTGTGGTGTGTGCGTGGTGTGTCGTGTGTGTGGTGTGCGTGGTGTGTGGTGTGTGTGGTGTGCGTGGTGTGTGCGGGGTGTTTGCGTGGTGTTTGCGTGGTGTGTGCGTGGTGTGTGGTGTGTGTGGTGTGTGTGTGGTGTGTGCGTGGTGTGTGTGTGGTGTGTGCCTGGTGTGTGCGTGGTGTGTGCGTGGCGTGTCCGTGGTGTGTTCGTGGTGTTTGCAAGTGTGTGCGTGGTGTGTGTTTCTGGTGTGCGCGTGGTGTATGTGTGTGGTGTGTGTCGTGTGTATGTATGCTTATCTTCTTTTATATACTTTGTTCATTAATGGGGATGAACATATCAAAATAGAAAAAGTTCGTTTGTCAAAAGATTAATAATTTCCAAAGGTTTTTAAAAAATTGTATTTCGTATCCTTAAATACGTTTAAGTTAGTTTTAGATTTCCCACCTGCCCAACTCACCTTAGTGTAAAGAATGTCCTTGAAACCTTCAATTGAGAATCCTTGTATGAACTTTAAGCCATGAATTAGCCGTTCCGATAATTACCCATAGGAATATTCGGCCGTTCTGCCTCTTTGTTTTGCTATCTTGCATTGTCAGTATAAAGGTTAAAGGTCAAACGACGTTTCTGTTTTATTCCGATATCATTATCTGAATTTAACAGATTGTGTAAACTTCTGGAATGACAATAATTATTTCATACGTAATTCATTCTAATATAAGATAAAAAATTATTTCAGTAAAAAATTCATTCTACGTATAATATAATCATTATTTCAGAAATTCACCCTTGAAGAACCTGATCATGATTTTAATGATTCGTATATACGTAAATAATTTTTTTTTGTGACGTGTATAAAAATGCAACTCGTTGTATCAATTACCCAATGCACCACACGAGTATGTGTGCACCATCACACGTGTATTTATGCACCTACGGACGTGTATTTGTTGACCATCATATGAATGTGGACCACCACGGAACATTTTATGGACCACTACATGAGTGTTACTGGAGCCCAGTTTCTGAATCACGGAAACCGGAAGCAGTTAATTTAGTTATCATTACCGCTATTAGCCGAACGGAAAAGGGGGTGTCGGTTGTGATACT